CTTCAAAAATTAATTTTAATAAGACTAGTGAAATTACACTTAAACTTTTTTATATACGTGCAGCTTAATCATATCAAAACAACCGTCAAGATTTATTTTCATACTTTATTAAAGAATTTAAAAGGAATTTCACTTAAAGTACCTTTGAAAACTTAACACAAAACATTAAATTCCTCATCCGATCTGTTTAAAAGCGAAGTTAGTTTCAAAGGGGGTAATTGAAGTTTTAATGAGCGAAAATTCTTCTATCACCGCTGGCCAGCCGCATTAATAATTCACGCCGGCATTACGGCGTTTCTAGTAATTTATGTAAATTGCGATATTCAACAACCAATTTAGCTTTTTAATTAGGAACGTGAACTTAAAGAAAGCTTTTAGATCTTTTAGGGAATTACTGAGGTAAATTTTGGCTGTTTTATTGCATTTAAACAAGTAAATTGTTATATAATAGTCGATTAGGATATTAATCAATCGAGAATAAATTAATTTGGCGATATATATTTTTTAATACCGTATTTTTATACGCTAATGCAAAGATGAATGGGTTAGTTAATAGGTGTACACCTATATCCTCTATTTCTGCCTATTTCTTCACCAGACGATGCACGTAGTCTTACACAAGTTGCATTGTACATTTCCATTTAAAAATATAGAGTAAATATTTATACTGAAGTGGGAAATAAAAAAAGTTTCAATTCTGATATTACTTATTTAAAACAAATAACCTAACTAACATATAATAATCTATTTCATTTTGACGATTGCCACAATATTTCTTAATCTTTGTTTATGAGCCTCAATACAAGTTGTTAAATTTAAAGCACCCGAAAATTTATATTATTATACATAGTAAGTAAGATTATTCTTTTTAAATTAGTAAAAATAAGTTCTTATATCTATGGAAAACTTACCAGTAGACTAAATATTATAAAAAATAAACTATTCACACACTTTGAATAAAACCTTTTCAATAAATTTCACCATAACCGTTTTTTGGGAACAAAACAAAACATAAATAATGTGTTTACCACTCTGTGTCAGATGGTTTAGAAAATTCAAAAATACATATAATTTATGAGGAAGTACAAAGAAAAATTTTGATAATAAGAAATAAAGAAAAGATTTGGTAATTATAATTAATTATTATAATAATTTTATTATAACTATACTAATTCTATTAAATTATAATTATTTTATTTTTATAAAGAATTAGACGTTTGGCAATACTATGAAGAAATATTATTATATATAACCGCAACACATACCGTAACATGGAATCTACAATTATATTTCTATGACACTACTTATACTATTTTAAAATTGGGCTGTGATATTTATGTTTTATCAAAAATAAAATATTGGCGAGTACATATTGGAATGTTATAAGAAATTATAATTGTTTCAAAATGATATTCAAATTATATTTCTATTTCCTTAATAAATTTACACAGATTTTTTATTCTGCATTTATTTAAACGTGAGAAAATATTATAAATCTCTATTTCATAAAAATATTAGAAATATATTATTTAAGTTACATTTGAATACAAACAATACACGTTAAAATATTTTGCGATCCGTTTACATTTAAGAAACGTTTTCCAATTATAACAATTAATTATTGATTAATTCCTCTCACAACCTTTTACGATTGTTAATAAAATATTTTAGTAAGATTCTGTATTATTTCAGATTTTAAAGGCACAATATATATTTATATCCATTTCAACACAAGAACTGTACCTACTTGTTAAAGAATTATATTGCTGACTCATTTAAATTATTGAAATTGATTACAGACTTCTAAAGCACACGCCTTATCACTTATAGTTTGCTATTTGTTGTGAAGAAAAACAAATTGTTTCTCTTACAATTGCCTATTAATTAGCGTTAATAATTATCCATAATAAATATCACCTACATTTACGGTTTGTTAAGTTTGGAGTGATGCATGATTAATTGATTAGTTCAGACTATTACTGCAATAAGAGTCTCAATTCCGGGATACTGGGGTACTGTATATATCGACACACCTCTATAAAATAGCAGTTCCTCGTACAGCCTCCATAAAGTTCCTTTACGATGTACCGTTTACTGCCTCGTTGTTGGTAATAAGTAAATCAAGTCGTTCCGGTACCGCACATCTTTCCTTTGATCAGTTGACTATTTTAATTTAAGTTTGCGTTTGTTTGAACAATAGTATTGATTTTGTAACAATTAGGGACCAAGATACCACGTCAAACGTTTCAACTAAAAATTATAATGTAATGTACAAGGTGAAGAAATTAATGTTAAGTGGAATTTTATCCGTAGGTAATTTGACAAAATATATTGTTTATTAAATATCATTTAAGCCCAGTATTGATAGGGGAAATATTTAATGCAATAATTGGAAATAACCAATTAATGAGAACACAATGTTGCAATTACACGCAAACCTGATAATTGCGGTTCTAAAAAGCACTTAGCATTTAGTCACAGAAAAAGTAACGCTTTTGTAAGGCCGTTCCTTTGCATTTTAAAAGGTTATCTTGCTGGGATTTAATTATTCTAATACAAACCGTAAAGATTAATGATTAGTAAACTTTATTTTGTCGCGCCAATGTCAATCAAGGTTGATACACCAATACAATCAATGTTGATACATAAATACGTTATATATTAGAAGGATACTACAGGGCATATAGATTTTGTCATTCTATTGGAAATTTAATATACGTACGTTTGTCTATTACAGAAATCGAAACCTGGTTATTAAATGGTAACCAAAAGATGTTATTTAAAGGGTAATAGAATAATTATTTAAAATTTAAACTGTCAACACATTGGTAACTTTGTAGATTTCACAAATAAGTATTTTTTCTACGAACAGATCTTTAATTATAATTTGTTTCTTCGTATGTTATTTTAAAGACATAAAAAGCATTCTTAGTATATTCGTTTTAGAGGATAAATTCTCTCATTTCTCATTTCTAAGCAGCAGTTAATTTAGAGTTCGACTATAATACTATTTACATCTAAAAAAAAAGCTAATATATATAATAAATATAGGTGTAATATGTTTTTTTTTTTAGATTATTTCCTTACGCATGTCTTTTAAAAAAGTTTTATATTGAATATTGTACTTTAACAAATTAACAATTCGTATAACAAATTATAGATGTCCATTATCTGAGTCCTCTATATTCGGATATTTAATCAGTGGATATGGGGAAAATGCATATAATATATATAGCCTATTTGGATTAAAAGGAAATTTCGTCAACAATTCATAATTTATAATAATTTTTTATCAAATTATCATAGGGCCTTTTTATTTGGTATAAATAAAATCCAAGTGACACCATCATCTAATATTCCAAACATATCAGGTAATTTATAAAACAAAGTGTGATTACATCTACTCTATTATCTACAAATTACCGCTTGGATTTTTAAATTAAAAGTTTTCAAATCGAAACCTATGTGAATAATAAAATGCAGATGGTTATAATTATCAATTGATACGTTGGACTAAACGATAAATCCTGATTATCGTTTAATTCATTTGATAATGTTGCCATAGTTGTATATTGCAGTTTAATAACTATAGCTGGAATTCAACCGCGAAGCTCCGAATTTAATATCGGCTCTATTAATTTGTAATTTAGCAGTATTAAATTATCATTGCAAATGCCTTTTACACGTTTTCGGTTAGAACTGAGCATTTTAAATTTAATTCCATATTACTATTATTGTAATATACCTTTTATACTTTAGTGCGTATTTGATTTGAATAGTATCATAGAACAATATGCTGATGTGATCCATTTGAAACAATCACAAATATTGGATGTGACACATAAAAATAAAAAAGAGTTTGGATACTATTTAATACCAAAGAATTATCACGGTATCAATGGTTTTCATTCATAGCGGGCTTAAGTGAGAGAAATATAAATATAGCCTACGCATTGTAAATAAAACATATTGCACATTTCAACACCTAAAGAAAAGAACAAAAATATTTGTGTATAATCTTTATTATGCAAATAAATGAATTAAAAATAACACTATTCACAATTCAACAACCTGTTTTTGTATTTCATTCTCAGAAGAGTAGTAATTGTATTGTGTTAATTCTTGTTTTCATGAATAAATTGCTTTTAAAAACTTTGTTAGCCGCTTTTATAAAAAAAAAACCTTAATGTAACAAAACTTAATGTAAAATAATGTGAGTGTATTTTAGCTAATTTTACTAAAACAAAGTTCAAATACTCGCGTGCTCACAGTGAAAGTACTTGTTTGTAAAAGTTGAGTTAGAATGAAATATTAAATGTCAAGATAAAAAATGTAATTTTTTAAGAATGCAAATGATTTCGCTCGATCTATGTTTAATTTACCAAAATACCAAAATAAGCGATAATAACCTTGTTAATATATACACAAAAATGATTTAATTCAATCTTGTTTTTAATTTTTATTTTATTTTACTGGTTTACTTATATACAATAATAGGCCTAAGCCTATAACTAATTTACGAACATAATAATTGTGGAGGCAAAGGGTTTTATGCATTCGGATTATGTTTGTCTTTTGAGTTAATACCTTCTTTCAACTTAATATGTTAGGTTTAATGAGTGTAGGTAAGATAATAAATTATTTCTCATCTACAGTTGGTCAGATTCACATATGGAACAGTATCAGAGATTCGACCATTCTAAATTATGTTTTCGTCAAAATAGCGCTTTGTATTTTTATAACATTTCTAAATTACCTTTGTATTTTAATATAAAGCTTAACAAAAGCTATTTTAATCTATTTGTCAATTTTATTTTCGTAATTTAATCGATGCCATATGGAAAATAATATTACATTTCGATCTCCATTCCCACAGGATTTTTTAGAAATACACAAACCTGTGTAAACCGACGATTGATGAATTATACGCAAATTATGTATAATGCGTAAAATACGCACAATATCAACAACATATCATTTTCAATCCGTAAATATTTTACCTTTGACAAAGCTGAACTCCGTAAAGACAGCTAGCAGGTTGACCAACCCGAACAGAACCTTGACGCACATGGTGTCAATCACTACACTTGCACTAGTCAATACAATCACAACCTAAAATCTGTATTCCATTCACAAACAATGATAATTCAATTGCAACTACAATCCAATGATATTACGGGTCAAGAGATTTGAACAATGTGTTAGATTTCCTTAGAATGTAATGATAGAAAGGAAGGTCATTGTTTATTAGACACGGTGACGATCTCACAGAACCACTGTAACTATTACAGGTCCGCACGAGACGGTAGCTAGGGCCGCACTGTAGAGCCGACGGCCTGGTTGCCATCGCACGCTTGCGCCAACCCGCCAACCATACAACCACCTTCTACCTTCACTTCTTATTCACGATATTTGTCCCCCAACCCTTCCCAGGCTATTGTCAAGACGTCGAATATCCGTCAAACGATTTGTTCCGGAGCGCCATTTTGACGTGTTAATACATTCCAGATTTGTTTGTTCAGTGAAAGTAAAGGAGTGAAGGTAGTGTGTTGTTGATGTAGTGCGAGAGGTTGATTTTTTGGGTATGTTTCGGTTGTGTTGTGTTTGAAAATAGAGTTAGTTACATGTCTCTAAAACGATATTGAGACTATTAATCTTAACACTAAACTATAACTATAACACTAAACAATAAACTAATAAATCCCCTAAACAAATTTTAAAACGCATTCCAAACGTATTTCTGTATGGTTTCTTAGAAAAATATCACAATCATTACATAATCTTATAGTGTATTGTTATATAGTTAGTTTTATTGTTACATTAGAAAATAGGTTTTTGAGTTTGTAAAAAATGTACGTCTATTATGTGTGTATATGACCTTATTTTGATATTATCTTGCAAGATGATTTTTTAATCATTAAACCGTTATTTGAATTTAATCCAAAAGCTAGAGGTAGTATTTTTTTCAAATCATTTATAGTGCATGAAGAGAAATGAACCCCGTTTGTATTTTGTTATCACAGTTATACACTCTATTAGTATTTCAATTAATTTCCAATTACTGTTAGTTCTTACAGTTTATATTAGTTAAAATAAAGGGTAAATTCTGTAGTATTAGGTATACAGATATGTATTTTTTGCCAGGTATAACTTTTTTCTTGAAAACTATAGGGAAAATAAAAAAAACATAGAAACGTGAGTGTGTTAAAAAAATTAAAAGGAAATATCATTGACATAACACGCTTAAATTATGCTCGATAATACAACTCAGCCATTAGAGTATAAAAGCTATTTATAGGGTTTAACGACTTCAAATCAATCTTTATCATAAATATTATAAGGCATTATGTTATATGTGTCCATATATGTAGTCTAAAGTTTTCTGCTTTAAGTAGAAACGAAATCAAGATGAATTTGTAAGCTAACTCAGAGAGAAATATTAATCAACAGAAAGTACTAAAATACATTTCGTCATGGATCCCTTAAAATATATACTGCAATATGCCTACATATGCCTAATTAATTTGTAAATAAAATATACATAATTTAGTTAATGTTTTGCTTTACATGTAATACATTTTACTACCTCACGATGTCGTTTGATTACACCATTCACAGCGATCAATGTAACTAGAGCTGAAGCCGATGATGCACTATCATACAACATAAAACTACAGTTTGCTTTTACGATATGCACTCTTATCCGGTCTATGGGTGAATTGGATTATCAGAACAGCGGATAAAATGATCCAGCCCCATTTGAACATGAACTACGGCTCTGGATACAATCAAGTAGATTGGATCAATGTAGGTCGACCCGTAGCAGATCTCGTAATACCTCTAATCAATATCACTTACATAAACTGATTACAAGTCATGGCTTTACTGATATTGTAATGTCATTGTTGAAACTATTTACAGTTTCTTTTACAATTTGGTACGAAGTTTGTGGTAGAACATTTTTGAGCACACTAAATAACGTTCTAAGAGCCTCCACAGTCGACATGTTGTCACTATTAACACCAAACGAAAACGTCTAAATGACTATGCTTTTTTTTTAGATATGAATCTAATCTGTTTCAATGAAACTAAATAGTTAATTAATTGATAAAATATTTTCATTGTATGTTTCACGGAATCTATAATATTATTATCATTATAAGATTGGTTGATCTGCTATTGTATATATTTTCAATACAAGAATTGTACTGACATTAAAATTGTTAGGCAACTAGTTCGATTTCAAGTGAGATTGATTATGGATCTAGATGTAATTTGTATATTAATGATGCTGTAAAACTTATGATTTACGTTACTAAGGCTAGCAAGACTAGGGTTTTGACCATATAAAAATAATCTAATAATGTAAATGAGATTGATGGACCAAACGATTAAAGAATAAACTTACAAATATAAAAGTCTCTTTTCCTTAGAAAGACACATTGTAAACTAATTTTAGACTATTTTTTTCTACTACTAGGGAAAGTTTTCAAAATATTAAATGTATACCCTATGTCATTATAACCATGTTGATTTACGGTAAATCTTTCACACAAAATTTAATTAAATTATTGCGTAGAAACTAAAGATAATGTCCCACTTTGTCTCAATTATGCCATAAAAATAATAACTCAAATCAAAATACACCATTTCACAATTTTTCAATCGCCATCTCCAAACAATGACAGGGCTTATGGAAGACAGTGGGCAGCAACTGGTGGTGGCGGGTGTTTTTGTAAAGCTGTTCGTGGGTTAGCGGCTTACACAGGATAGAGCTTCACCACGATACTACACTAATTGGAATGATCAGCTTTACCTAGTCGACCTCCACCACTCGGTACACGATTGAACAAGTAATTGCAATTAACTGTATAACCAAGGTAAACAACGAATAACACGTGTACAAGTGTTGAAACGGAATAAACATATAAAATGTATGTAATGTTTATCAGTTTATAAAACGTTAACGACTCAGAAGGGAATTTTGTTAGATTTCCTGTTATTCTTGTCCGTAGATAAAAATGTCATTATTTTTTAGCCAATTTAGTGTAATAATTATATGCAAATATCAATAAATAAATATTAGTTGCAAATTTCCATGCATCTACAATTTGATAGAACTCTAATATAACTACATGCCTAACAATACGGTATTGGTTTTCCAACAAGTGATATGGTGTCCACCAAAGAGGCGTCCAGATTTAGTATTACCTCATAATATACAAACGATTATTGTTTTCAATCTACTTAATATGTGCCCAATTGTTTTCTAATCAATAAGTAATATCTACTGAACCACATTTCTGAAAGTGTTGCAGTTTTACTCTCTTTAATCCTACATAAATTACCTTGGAATAAAAAAGTGTTTGTATAAAAATGTATTTTGCAATATATTAGATTATCTTTGCTGAATTGGCACGAGGAATGACATGTTGATTGAAAACACTTTTTAAATTCTTAGGAATAATATTAACCGGTCAAAACTAATATTACGTTAAACAATTAGTAAAATGTTTATTTAGTCAATAAATAATCATAAAAAAGTTGTTTAGCCACTACATTGTCTGCCCATTTGTTTCGGAATATAAACTCTAAAAAAAGTAATTTATAAGATACGTAACTATTTACTAAGTGATATAAAATTTGAAATCGTAGAAACGTGTTATTATCATTAAAGCTTATAAAAACCCATGTACTAAATGTGTTAAGGAAACATTAGAAACCAAAGTTTTCACAACGTTAAAACATTCATTAATCAGGTCTTGCTGTGAATAGAATGTAAAGTGGTACATTGTCTTGCCGCTAGGTTGCAGGAGCAGCTTCCTTTACGACCGCAACCATTTGATAAAAATAAATTGTATTTGTATCACGGAAACCTTAGTCTACGTTGTGCTGTCCATAAGGTATTCGGTTATAAAAATACACACACTGGACTGTTTTAGTACCGAAAATACAGTTTGAATTAATTCATTTTTTTATTATAAAACTGTGCAACCATTGAAACCTCAATTTTAAAGCGTTTCAACTACAAAAACACACAAAATAAATGCGATACCATGCACAAATACCTGTACTTGGATTCGTTACATTACAAAACTAGCATTGGGTTACATTAAAAAATGTTATCTAGTATTTCAACATGAAGTAATATAAAATTTGAAAAAATCTAGTATAAATGTAACCATAGGCCTACAAAAGATATTCGGTACGCTACGTATAATCTGAAATATTTTATATATTATGAATAGCGTACAACCGACATAAAAGATTTTATTAATCAGAATTTTTTAAAGTTGGCACGCAGATTATAAGATAACTTAGAACGGTGGTGAAATGTGTTTTCAGAGTACTCCACAGTGGTGAAAATACATTCTATCAGCGGAATAAACATGCATTATTGGCAAATACATTATAGCTTGTCGTTTCTTCATCATTAGTTAAGTTTTTTAAGTCCAAAAAGCTAAGTATTCTAGTATAAACTCATTAGTTTCTAGGTTATTTATTAGTTTTTCATAACACCCTTATTCATATACCCTTATAAATTAGGTGTATATGAATAATATCTCGTCATATAGGAGCTACTATTACTAACCTATTATTTAATGAGATGAACCAGAGTAATGTGTTAGTATAATAGTTTTCTTGTATTCGGATTTTGTAAGGAATGCATGTATTTTTTTTATTTAAGTGAGTGAATAATATAAACAAAACATTTACAGATAAAAATACAAGATAACTAACCGGTAGTATTGTTCTCTTGGGATGTATTTTACAGTCAGTTTTCTTTATGGTTCAAATTCCCCTCAATTATTGTTTAGTTTTTTTGTAATTTTATACTTCATAGACTTATATTTAACATCAAGTTTATCATAAGTAAGTATGTTTATTAATTTAATAAACCCTTTAATTTCTAAAAGGGTCAAAGTCTTTGGATTGAGAAATTATTACTGTTAATCGTAGTTATCGACGAGTTATCTACAATGAATATTAAATTTACATGATCAAAGACAACCTACATCATTATTTGATACATATATAATTAGAATGTAAAGATGGTAAATATATTGTTTTCAAAATAAGCTTGTTACAATAGCTGATGATTTCCCCTGTTATTCTTTAGTAATATAGTGTGAGAATCATACTTGAATTGAATGAAATGAAATGAAAAATCCTAAAATTTTGTTTGGGAAAAGTTAGGGCCACAGGGCTCTTTCTTACACCTAACCTGATTATTTTATGGTTATTATCATTATACTTGAATGTATAATGATAATAACCATACTGCTAACTAAATCAAGAGTTGATCAAAG